GTGTGCTGGAGAGGCTGGGATAGCGCCGGGAAGGGGGTTTGCAGACCGAAACCGCTGAGTTTTCAAGCCTTTTCTGAAAGGCAGAGACCTTCCCCGTGTGCTCGTGCTTCAAAGCCATAAATTTGTTTCATCACTTCGATGAAATCCTTGGAGTCTCCCAGTCATTCTCAGGCTGCTCTGCCACCCAAATTTGCCTTCCCGTCTTTCCCTGTGATTTGAAATGGGTGCAGAACTGTAAGGGACAACTGGGTTGTTTTTTCTTTTTCCTTAAAAACCGGGGTGGTTGCACCGAGAGCTTAAAAAAACGTTCGAGGGAGATTTTTGAATCCGAGATGGGAACAGATTTAAATCCTGGTCCGAGGAGGTGGTTAAACCTTGTTTTAAGATGAGGTAATAAATACAGTAAGGCAATAAACCTGCTGAATGTGAAGCACAGGTAGAGAGAGGAGAGCGGGTGACTCCCTGGGGAGCGCCTGTGGAGGGGGGAAAAGCAGGGGATGATGGGGAATCTTGTGACTTTGGGGACCTGGAGGAACCCGAGCAGAGATGAGTAAGTTTGTGTCATGTGACAGAAATATTGAAAACGTAAATCTCCTCGTAGATCTGGTCCTAGCCCGGGGTTTGGTTTCCAGCCTTTGGTTTTGAAAATGCCAGCCCGAGGAATTCCCAATCTCTTCCGCCTCAATCCCGGCGCCACCTATTCCTGTCTTCCCACCCAAGGTGCTGCTCCTCGGCCCTGCTACAGCTGTGGGGCTGTAAATGGGATCACTGAAATCATCCAGGTTAAAAATAACACCCGGGGGGAGGGGAGCAGTGGCTTTTTAAGCCAGGGTTGCTGCTGAGGAGTGTTGAACAGCAGCCTTGGGATCCCTGCTTGGAATCCAGGGATAACCAGCACTCGGAGGCTTCCTCTGCCACTGGTGGCTGCTCTGCAGGTTTTAGTCCTGTGGAGGTGTTTTTAATATTGTTTGCCGTGCAGGGGGATTGCTCAGGGAATTCCTGGAGCGGTGGATACACCTGGAAATGGGAAATGCAGCACTTCCCCACCACCGAGGGACAACAGGGGTCTGACAGGTCCCAGGCTGTAAAAAAAAAACCCACAACCAACCACCCCTTGTTGACATCCTGATGTTCCCAGAGGAAGGAGGATGAAAAAACCCAGAGGGCGAGGCTTTTAACAAGGATTTAACTATGTATCTTTATTTTGGATAACTTTTAACACCCCAAACCAGGGGAATCACCAGCTGCTGTGGAAAGGGAGGGCAGGGAGGTGGCTGAGGGGTCTGAGTTCACCTCCTGTCTCAGGCTGGAAACCTCCCTGGAGAGGTTTGCTGTGGCTGCAGAGCACAGGGAAGGCACAATTCCAGAAAATGAGGGGGCAACTGCTCTGCACCTTCATGGGGAGAGGAACAACCAGCTCACCCACAGTGCTGCATGGACAGGAACAAAAAACAGTGACTGGGAGTGTGTTCTTATTGAGCTGGGCTCGAGTGTAGAAAACAAAAAGACATCTGTGGGCTTTTGGGGGGCAAACTGCTTCAGGGAAGGACCTGTTGGCCCTTTCTACCTGCACCTTGTGCTGAGGTGGAGGGGAGCTCACCAGAGATGTCCTGCCTTCAGCAAAGCTTGGCATCACTGTGTGTTCAGTGAGGCAAAAGGGATTCTGTGCTCGAGCCACAAACTCTGAATTTTCCAGATTTTGGGGTAGGGAAATACGTGTGCTGCTTCCTCTTGAAGATCCAGCTGTTGTTTTCCCATAGCCAGTCAATAATTAGCAGCCCCTCAGCTCCAGTCCAGTTTGATTGTGGCTGGACAAGCAATAATCCACATCAAGGACTGAAACCAGAGATGCTTTCTGACCCACGGGGTGAGTTCTGACACTTTGACACCAGATTAACCCCCAAAAAAGAGGGGAGTACTTTTCATTCCCTGCATCAGAAGTGATTTGTTTGCTCTGTCGTTTTGCATCTTTAAGAGCAAAGTGGAATTAGTGCAGGCTGTGATGTTTAGTCAAGGTATTACAAGTAAACACTTGATCATTCTTACTCACACCAGTAATAGGATTTACAGCCCTCTGTGTAGAATTTTGGCCTTTCAACTCGAGCCCTAAACAAGTGTTCCAGCCTTGGCTTTGGGGCAGGACACTTGTGGTGGCTTTAGCACCTATAAATAACTTAAAGCATTCTGTCTTTAGGCCACAGTAACGAATGTTGCACTTGTATGGCAGCTCCAGGTAATCTGCAGAGGATAAAACCTTTTATGATCCAAAAGATGAGGGGGGTGCTTCAGTGGCAGCAGTGACCAGATTGATTTTGAGGCCTTGAAAAGGAGTGATACCTGTTTGTGGTTTATTGTGGCCTTTCTGGTGTTCAGGTCAGGAACTGGCCTTCTGTCCAGTGTTGCTTGTTTCTGGATAAAGGAGGGGGGCTGAAATCTGTCTCTCTGACAGTTTAATTCTGTAGCCTTCTGGAGCTGTGCTTGGGAAGTATCTGGTGACCCATCTATTAAATCTTGTCCTGTTAGTCGAGATTTTTAAATAATATAATTAACACTCATATGAATATTTTTTATTTTTTTTTTGAAGCCTGTAGAGTTGTGTAACAATTACATAAACTACCAGTACATAATTCCCAAAAAAAAATCCTTAGATGAACTGTTTCCCAAGGATCCCTCATCCCAGCTGGGACAAAGCGTGTGGATGTGGGAGAGTCCCAGCAGCAGCTCTGGAGCTGAGACAGAGGCGCCTGCTCACACTCCTGTGATTGTTCTGCCACTTATGTCATCTTGGAGCCTTTGAACTCCGTTTGTTGAGGGCGTGGGGATGGTTCTGAACGAGCACAATTACGATTTCTCTGCGTGGAAATAAGTTCATTTGCTTTTCTTCCTCTGTTGGGCTGAGATTGAGCCCTCCCAACGCCTGGTTATCAGCGTGGGGCACTCGGGTTACTCAGGGCAGGTCAGCTTTTTTTTTTTTTCTCACTCCTTGGCAGGGCTGGAACAAAGAGGGGATGTGTGGCCCTTGTGTCCAACACGAGTAACCAGCAACAGAGCAGCTGCCCTCCTGGAGGTTTTTAACCTCTTAAAATTCGGGTCCTTAACGCTCTGAACAGTCACCTGCCTGGCACAGGGGGCAGAGCTCCAGAAGGGTGCACACTTGTCTCCCAACTTCCTGGCATTTCCCTGTGGATAAACTCCCTTGCCCTGGAGAGTGTGTGGTGGGGTGATTCATTTCTCTCACTGGAAACTACTCTGAGGAGTTTCTTGGTTGCAAAACAGCTTATCTGTAAAGAATTTACGACCCGAGGTACACAGCTCTTTTAAATATCTTTTGCAGTCCCTTTCATGTATCTTAGGGTATATTTAGCAATGTTTAACCTGTATCTGTTGCTTTTTATAGGTTAATTATGCAGTGTGTGCCAGCCTAAGGAATGTATAGTCTGATCCTGCTGGCTGCCAGTTAAAGATTAATTGTGACACTCTTTGTGTGTAATCCTTGAAAAATGAAGCTTGATGGGTGTAGTATTTGTGCTCAGTGTCTCCTGGGGAGAGGGGAAGTTGTCCAGGATAAATAATACATGGTTGTGTTATCCTGTGTTGTAACTTGCATTTCAGGCACATGAAATTAAAACCTGAATTTGCATTTCCAGCGAGCGAAAATTAAAACCTGAATTTGCACTTCCAGCGAGCGAAATTAAACCTGCTTTCAAGAGTTAAAAAGGGACCGAGCTGAGAGTTCAAATCTGGTGCTTCAAAGCCAACACCTCAGGGCTCTCAACTCAAAA